TATCTTTAACAGTGTCCTCCAATTTTATCCAACAACATTTCTGTGTTGAAGCTTGAAAAAAATTGTTGATTAACCTGGCCATAGACATAAGAGGGTGGTTGAACATGCTCAACATTTTGATTGTCCCTAGCCCTGCGTCTTGACCATCATGTGCATAAACATGAATGGGGGACCAATTTTCAACCTATAGTCCCTGATGACACTTATTTTTTTGGGAAACAAGAGGTCAGCCAGCGGGTATTTGCTGTTTCCATAGACATGGGATTACAAAAAAGGAGAGCGCCCACTCCATGTGAAGGATTGTTTAATAATTTGCTTTTAATAGCAAGTTATTAAATGATCCTTCACATGGAGTGGGCGCTCTCCTTTTTTGTCATTCTATAGATGTTAAGGTTCCCTGCCTTGTGGAGCTGCCCCAGTGTGATCAGGTGGAATCAATTAAGGAGGAGGGCTTGCTGTGATTCATTTGCGCTGGGAAGATTTTGAATAGACATGGGATTGTTTTAGCCAGATTGGCTGACTGATATATGGTATCTATGGCCACCTTAAAGATTTATTCCACCCAAGACTGATATTTAAAGAGTATGCAAAGCCAAAACTTGTTCTTTATTATTCATTAAGGGACACAGGATCAGAAGTAATTCAGAGAAAATTGGGTTATACTGCTGTCTTCAGGAGGACACATAAAAAAAAACTGTTGGCCAGTCAAGTATAACTTCTACCACTCCCATCATGCTTCAGTTTTTTTCCTAGTGTCCTAGGAGGAAAGACCTAGGAGGAAAGACCTCTTGAAGAAAGGTTTAAGTCCAATGTCATTTTTTTAACAAGATATTATTCATTGTCTTCATCGTCCTGCTGCAAAGCTGAGTTCTTATGCAGCTATCCGGATTGGGTAATGCTCAGTGCGGCCTCAAAGGCCAAACCTGGACCCTACAGAGCCAAAGATGGCGGGGCCTGCCTGTAATGTGACCCTCAGGCACTGGGCTCTGTTTGTGGCACTCTTCAGACACCTAGTTTACTGGTTTGTTGGTCAGAGTTCTTTATAGGGCCAGGGCCATGACACAACCACTGGTGTGACCCAGTCTCTGATGACCCCCTTGGCAGTATGCACAGGTATGCCCCAGGCAATTGCTGGAACATGGCATTATTCACTGGGTTCTGCAACCCAGTGATTACCGTGTACCGTGCTGAGCACTTTCCAGGCCTATGACTGTTCTAAGTCTTTGGACTTAAACTTATATGAGTATGGCACACTATTAACCTTTTTTCCTGCCATTGTTGGAGAAATGGGTACATGTGTGAGTACCCAAGGTCCTTTTTGGTGTATTTATTTGCTGGAGATGTTACAAAGTTAACCAACTGTTAACATCCTACATCTCTCGTTAACTCTATTAGTGGGATATTTGAGTTGCCAGGTCTGCACCCCTACTGTACCCATTATGAGAGATCCCACTCCCTCATCCTGTTTTTTCCCCCCTATTTTTACTATGGAGAATGTAATAAAGGGAGCAGCAACACAAAAAGATTGGGCAGAAAGACCTAAAGGACAGAAAGAAGTAAGTCAGGATTTATGGCAGAGCGATCTTGTTGTTGGAGTCTCCAAGACCAGTAAGAAGCCAAGGGCTGACTTAGCCAGCAAGGCTCTAGCTATAACTAAAATACCACTTTTTGGCAGAACAACCCTTCCATTCTATGTGATGACTTTCTGACTCCGAAAGATTTATCTGCAAGATGTAAGGCAATAGGGCTTCTTCTTTGAACACAAACCTATGTGCTCTATAGCTTCTGAAGCAGGTATTCAAGCTTTGACCAGCAAAAGGTGAAGACATGCCACGCGAAAAGTATGTTGATTGTTGTGTATGCCAAAGTTACCTAGTCTCTTCCCTTTCTCAGGGTGTTAAAGCAATCTTGACATGTAGATGCCACTGTAAAAGTGTGTCATTCCCGCCGTTGTGTGGAAAGAAGATTTATTTTACACAAAGTGTTGGGAACTGTGCAAGCACAAAGATCTGTGATCAGAGAAGATGCCATGAAAGGGGCAATGAGTTCCAGGCCGGCTTATATCTGCTGATTCCTGAATATCTCACTCGCTATCTCCTTTTTCCTGATGCCTCTCCTCTCCCTTCTACCGCCTTTCTCCTCTCCTTGGGAATTGCTGTACTGAGCTTCACAGACATGTCTTGATCAGTGATGGTGACAGTTGTCATGAGACGAGATGACAGATGTCGGTGCTGTGAAAGAAAGGCAGGGAGTAACATCAGTCCTTTTATACAGTCAACCCGTCCTATCACGGGAGCCTTGTAATTATTATCAAGAGCTTTTCACTTTAGTTCAGACCCTTTAAATGGGTCGCTGTCACTGAGTTACCTTTCTCCACAGCAGGCCTGACTCTATTAATGGAGATCATTTTTTTTTTTGCTTAGCCTTGTTTAAAGCCCAAATGTAGTTTCATCAAAAAGCATCTTTTGAAATAGAGGCTGCAAAAAAAACCTTGATTTTAAAATGTCTTACCGTTTCCTTCTTTTTAATTCAGCCCTCCGGCGACAGCAGTACATCTTGAGCCCCAAGCAAAGGAAGATTGGTGCTTTCTGCATGATAGAAGTGGTCTTTCTGCAGGGGATTGACATGCCCAATCTTTCAAGTCAACGCTAGAGCTCTCCAATCAGCAGGGAGCAAGAGTTGTAGTACGGACTCATCAAGCGCCATGTCAGACCGCTGCAGAGAGATTGATGCTACCATGCAGAGCGTAGCGGGTAGTGATAGACTATATTATATGTATGTCATCTATGAATTTGCAGATAGTTCTACTTTAACCACATACATGGATAACAGTTGAAAGTGATGAGTGTCAAATAATAGATCCTCGTGTTTTGTTTATATTCCTCTTAAGGAGTTTCAGGAAATATAGATATGAAGGACAGCAATAGGCAAGTATGAAGGCTTCCTGCCTGTGCACTCTCTGCTTCCTCCCCTGATGGTATAGGAATAGAATTAGTCACGGCAGTGGAAGTCTGGGGAGCTGCCATTTGCAGCAACAAATGGGGGCAATGGCGTGTTGGTGGTGCATGGGGGGTGAATCATCTTATTGCCCTGCTCTGGCCGGCATCCTGCTCAGCTCACTGATGTCACTGGTTGCCTAGAGCTCTGCGGGACGATGGCCAGAGCGTCCCGCTCAGCTTCTGGTAACCAATTACGTCACTGGTTGCCAGGAGCTGGCGGAAAACTGGCCAGAGCATCACAGGTTGCATCCCAGAGCTGGTCGGAGAGATGTGTATGGCCCTTGCACATATCCCCGTCTGGCTCTTGGCAACCTAAACCGCTCTGGCCGGAAAGGGGGCAGCAGGCACACTGCAAACATCTCCCCATGAGAAGCCTCCTAAGGCAACTTGTTATAGGGATACCTCTGATTGTGTTGCTTAAGCAGTTGTGCAGTGATAACTTATGGTGAAAGAGGTGTTTAGTAATTGAATAAGGTTCCATCCCATACACTCATTATTCAGACAGTATTATATGTATTGCTCCAGGAGTAAACTAAGGTACCTCTGGACATCATATCAACAATCTTGTGTCTATGGGTATCTGAAGATTGGGAAGGCTTCTCTTGACCTCCCTTTTCTCCATTGACATAAACTTGCAGAGTCTTAAAACTGAACTCTAGGCACTAAAAACATTTATTGAAATATATTCCTCAATAGTCACAAAAGATATGAATTCACTTTTGTGTACCTTTGCAAACCCAGATATGATTGTATAAAAGTAGCAGTGACATCAGGGGCGTAAATTTTGTATGGGACCCCGTGATTTCTAGTTATACCCCTTGGAGAGCCCACTCGAGATCCCACCTGAGGGTGAACTTGCAGAGCGATTAGAGAGTCTATGGTGGGCTCTGTAGGGTCACCCTCAGGTGGGCTGGTCGCACTCCTTACCTGTCCGCCTCCTCTTCCTCCTCTGTCGCTGGGCTCGCCTCCTTCTTCCTCACCGGGCCACGCCTCCTCCCCTACTGCCAACCACGGGCCCGCCTCCTCCTCCACTGCCGCTGTTGGCTTTCAGTGACTCTGTGGAGAGGAACGTGTTGCTGCACAGATTACTGTCAGTGATCTGAACAGCGGCGTGTTCGTCTTCAGCCGCCAGTGAAAGACACCAGCAGAGGATCCCATAGCGACCCAGGCGGCCCGCACGGCATCTGGCCGGGCCCCACTGAGCCCCGGGCCCCATAGCAGCCGCCTGGGTCGCTATGGTGATTGTTACGCCACTGAGTGACATTATCACTGTGGTGTACATATTCTGTGCAGAGAGCAGAGCGGTAGGAGGGACCCAGCAGGCCCCACCCACTACAGGCTGACTAATGAAAACTACAGGAGGAGGCGGAGACAAGACCAGTCACCCTGCACAAGGAGAGAGAGCAGCAGTGAGCTTTCTTTATTACAGGAAGCTCCAAGTCTCACACTGGATTACTGCACAGTTCTAGAAGAAATAGACAAAGCTCACCAAGATTCAGGAAGAATACACATGGATCTTGTATTTAGGAAATATTTCCTTATCCCGGAGTTCAGCTTTAAGAACCTATTCTTATCCCAGTCAAGTCCTTTATAAAGCAGAGACCTCTTCAAGCCAACAGGACTGAATGTATGAGTACTTTAAGAGTTTTGTCCTAAACACCAGTCTTTAATGTCATTTAGTTTGAGCAGCTGGTGTTCCTCTGGATGGAAAGGCAGAAGTCAGGAGGGAATTACAGCCGTTACCGCGCACAGACGGAGAAACATGTGGTCCTGTGTGTCAGCACCCTAAAAATAGATCTTCTCATGGATTTCTTAAATGAATTCTACGCACACCCCCGGCTGCAGGTAAGAGGAACGGGATTACAGTTTGTTAATTTGAGGAAAGGCTTATATTACAGGGTTGCAGGAAGAGGGACCACACTCCAAGGATTAAAGAACAGACTTACATAACAGGGGAGCAGGAAAAAGGATCACATTTCAGGGATACAGGAACAGGCATGCATTCAATGAGTTCAGGAACAGGCTTACATTCCAGGGGTGCAGGATCAAGGATTACATTCCAAAGATACAGCAATGGGTATGCAATCCATCAGTTCGGTAGCCCCACTGCAAGGGTAAATTTGCCATTTGTCCGGAGTTGTTCCTTAAGAAACACCATAGATACTATATAACGCACAGTGGTCAGCTGTACAAATGTGCATTGCATTTCTTTCTTCATAGGTTGATGTTCGGAAGGCAAAACCTTAGTGAAGTGTTTTCTGGCTCCTCATGGCCGACCTGGCCATATACTAATAAACCACCTTTATGTTTTCTGCACAGGATCATTATGTCGTCCTCCTCTGCCCCACTGAAATGGATTTGCCTGTAAGAAGAGTTCTGCAGATCCCTTTGTGGTCACAGCGCGTTATCTATCTGCAGGGCTCAGCTTTAAAGGATCAGGACCTCATGAGGGCAAAGTAAGTCATTATAACCAATGACATGGGATATATTGCTATGCATGACCCGAAGCCTTGGCTTGATCTGCAATTCAGCAGGACTGCTGTCATTTAGCAAAGCAAAGCAGCACCATCCTTATTATGCCATTATATGTATTAGGAAGTACACTGTATACCAGCCATCCCTTCCACCTTGCACAATTGTACCGGCTTCTTTCTTGATCCAGGGAATATCCGATTGCCTTATGGGATCAGGAAGGATTTTTTTCCCCCTGTTGGAGCAAATTGAACTATGCTTTATATGGGTTTTGGGTTTTTTGCCTTCCTCTGGAAGTGGGTAATTGTGGGCATAGCGTTCTGTTTAGGCTTTTTTTTCTTTTCTTATCTCTATAGATTGAACTCGATGGACTTGTGTCTTTTTTCAACCTGACAATCTATGCAACTATGTAACTCTCCTGGACTGAAATTGCTTACTCTGATTTCACTGCACACTGTTAGCTGAGGAAGCTATGTACAGCACCCTGCCGTCCCCTTCCACCAGATATGATCTGCCTGCATTGTATAAAGTAGCACAGGGGCCCATTGATGACATCATGACTTGATGTAATAAAAACAAAGTTTTTATTTGTTTTCCATCAGCGTTGCATCTAGTAAAAATTGGGGCGTGCATGCCATTGCAACACCACAAACAACCATCTTTCATATTAAAACATATAATACTTTAAGACATAAATCAAATCCCCATTAAAAACAATTGCGTTGTTATTCCAGAAAATACTTTTTTAGGACCGTCAGGTACTGAATTTTACAATGATTGTTTCACGGAATGATTACATGTCAGAATACCATTCAAACCCTCATAAATGTTACAATTCCATAGAAATGTATCATCTCATCAGATCCAACCTTCATTTTGCGTACTTGCTTGTTCAGGAAGGTGGAAAAAAGATTTGTTGGTAGTATATCACATTGGAAATACTCAGAGGGTCACAATGCATGCCAAAAATACCCCAGAGGATTGCCAATACTCATATGGGAAAACGCAGGTCAGCACTGGGGAAGAAGAGAGAGCCAGACCCACTCACCATCTAAGGCCCCCCTTCCAAGAAGCCCCTACCTCCGCCATCAATAGATGTTGTTGCTACAACCATCTGTCATTATCTCCTTCACAATCCCCGGCTGTCAGCATGTTGATGGGAAGGCATAATATTTATATTGTAAAGCGCTGTGCAAACTATTGGCGCTATATAAATCCTGTATAATAATAAGCAGATTAATCTTCCTCTTTAAAGGCTAATTTCCCACATTGACACCTTGGCACTGGCTCAATAGTTGAAGAGAAGGTACTTTAAAATAGTGCGTTTTGATTCCCCAACCTTGGATTTCAAGTATGTACTACATCCTGTGCAGGTGAATGATAGTTCAGCAAATGTCAGTCTTCAGTGTTTGAAGTGGTTTTATTTAATTCTCATCATAAGAGCTGTGTGTGTCTCTTACCCGTGTCACTAACCTATCTTATGTTACACTACGTATGGTGGGGAAGTGCGAAAATTGGCACAATGTAGAATAACATGGCTTCCTTCAATAAACCAATGTGTTTTGTTGGAAAAGTAACAGTATGGATATGGAAATCATTAGAGTGTATTTAAACCAAGGTTTATTTTGTATAGTTTTGGATACAGTGCAGAAGAGTTAAAAGTAGGGATGTTCAGATACCAGTGCCGATACTTGCCATTTTCACGAGAACTACCCGGATTGCAGGGGTTGCAGCTTGGACCTGGCTCTGGCGCTCCACTGCTGTCCTGAAATCATTAGTCTGTATTGTTTTAGAAAAACTGTCACATGACAATAAACAAAAATAATTCAGTACTTGTATCTGTGAGGACAAATATAGGTACTTGTACTTGGAAAAATGGTATCGGTGCATCCCTAATATATATTTATTTTAAAATTATCATACGTTAAAACAGGAAAGTACAAATCCCAGGAGCTCCGTATGCTCCTTAAAAATGACAGCAGCCTCCCAACGTTTGAATTTTTCTTTAGTTTAGTCCTGGAGCTGGAAAAGTATCTGTACTTGTACTTGTACCGAGTACGGTACTTGGTATCTGAACATCCCTAGTTAAAAGCTCTGTCTGTGTCCCCACTGGGGTCTTTCACTCCTCTATTTGTCCTGGTGACCACTGGAGATGGGAAATGCAAAATTTTACTTCTATCACTGAAACAAGACGAGAGGGGAAGTCATTCACTTGTTCTAGTGGCTGTTGTCTAGGAGTGAATTTCCTCTAAATTTGGAGAGATTTCCTCTCGCTTCTTATTGGCTTACCTTAGCAGGAGAGAGAGGAAAATCTATTCAATGAGACACAGCAGAAAGTCACAGACAAAAAAAAAGCCTGATGGAAGTATTGCGATCCTCTATTCTAACAAAAAATAATTAAGTTTAAGCTTAAGATACACTTTGGGGTTCATTTATAAACAATTTGTAAGGCTTTTCAAATACATGTGAACGTTCATCCTGTGTGAACATAGGAGCAAACTAATGTTTTTTTAGGTTTTTTTTTCTTCGACAAGTCTATTTTAATTTGATTGTTCTGATTGTAATATGACATCATGGCCACTAGATAGTGCTGAGGAGCACAGAAAAATATTTATTTCCCTTTCACCTTTAGTGCCATGTAGTGACCATAATGTGATATAACAAACAGAGCATTCAAATTTAATTACACTTGTAAATATTAAAAAAAGAAAGAAGGTTTGTGCATATATTGGTCCAGGATGAACATTCACAGATATTAGCAGGGTGAACGGCACTGCAAATTGTTTATAAATCAACCCCTTTAAGTTTGGAACCTGCAGGCAATTGTGAGTATTAGGTTCATAGTATGATGTGTGAACCCTGTGGTACATAACAGACACCACCTGATATTTTACTGAAAGGCTGCTAAATAGCACAAAAAGGTGTTCAGTTTTTTATAGTACAGCTCACATTGTACAATCCTGCCTTTTTTTTTAATCTAGAAGCTGCTTCTCCTACCTACTTGCCTTACTAACGGTTTCTTTTTATTGTCTTCTAACTCCCTTTCCATTCCTTTTTTTCTCTTTACTATCTTCGCCTCGTTCTCCCACCTCTTCTCATCTTCACCTATTTCATCTTGTGTTCTTCTATCTTCACCTCCACTTATCTCACTTCCTTTCCTCTCTCCTCTGACTCTTCACTTTCCTCTCTTCCCTCCCCCCCTTTTTTTAATCTCTTTTTACTTCTCTCTTCTTACCTGTTTGCTTATACCCTCCTTCCCCTCCTCATTCTTCTCTCACCTCCTCCACCTTCTTTTCATTTCTTTGGCTTTCTGCACACTCCTCTCGCCATCTTTGATAATCTCACCTCTCCACCTTCTTCATTACCCCTGTATTTCTTTATTCATTTACTCCAACCATCCACCTACTTCTTACACTTCTTCCACCATACTGTCCTTCTTCACTTCCTCCACCCACCAATTTTTCTTTCTACTCTTCTTGGCTCCTGCACTCCCCTTTCTTCAAATTGAGTTATCTGACCTCTGCCATCTTGTCTTCTCCTCCACTCTCCCCTCTCCTTCTTCACCTCTCTTACCTTCTCCATCCAACGCTTTCCACCTTCACTTCTTTTACCTCCTCCACCCAACGCTCTCCATCTTCAATTCTCTTACCTTCTGCACCCACCGCTCTCCTTCTTCAATTTTCTTACCTCCTCCACCCAACGCTTTCCATCTTCAATTCTCTTACCTACTCCACCCAACGCTCTCCATCTTCAATTCTCTTGCCCTCTGCACCCACCGCTCTCCTTCAATTCTCTTACTTTCTGCACCCACCGCTCTCCAATTGTCTTACCTTCTGCACCCACCGTTCTCCTTCAATTATCTTACCTTCTGCACCCACCACTCTCCTTCAATTCTCTTACCTTCTGCACCCACTGCTCTCCTTCTTCAACTCTCTTACTTTCTGCACCCACCGCTCTCCTTTTTACTTCTCTTACCCCCTTCACCTTCCTCTCCCCATCTTCAACTCTTTTACCTCCTCCACCCTTCTATCTCCTTCTCACCTTCTTTACTCTCCACCTTCACTTCACTTCCCTCCTTCACTTCTCACCTCTCCTCCTTTCTTCTCATGCTTCCCTTTTCTCACCTCATCTCTTCTTTTTTACTTCTCCTCCCTCCTCTCTCCCTCTTTACAATCTTAAATCTTACAATCTTAACTCACCTCTAACTACCAACCTTCAACCTCACTCTTTACTGTTTGTGTTGGCTCCTCTCCCTACCCCTCTCCTTCATTTACTTGTCTCACATGCACTACTATCCTCACACATATTTTTGACACCTTGTCCATCTTTTTCTTGATCTTCTCTGTATCCTGCACTCTTCCACTAACTGAACTCATTCCTCTCCCGTTCCTTATCTCCTTGTCTCCCTCTCTGTCCTTTTTTCGACCTATTGTTCCTCTCCTCCTGTTGTTTTTCTGTAGAATTGATGACGCGGAAGCCTGTTTTATTCTCAGCAACCGCTTTGAAACAGACCGCATCGCAGCGGTACGTCTAACAGGGCTCGGGATGGAGAATGTTGATTTTAAATTGTTAATTTTGGGGTACATGGTTGTTTCTGAATAAAGAAATATATTGATAATGTCCATCCTATCAATGGATGATGAACATAAAAGTGTCTATTAATAAGTGTATGGTAAATTTAGAGTGGATACATCAGCTAATTGAACTAATAAATCTGCACTTTTGCAAAAAGATGAGTGCCAAAAAGCAATCTTCATAGCCCCCCCAAGCTCTACTTTAAAAGGTATAGCCACCAAAAATGATGATGCAGCCAATTATGTTCTCATGCAGAACCAGACAAACATGAGTGAAGAAGAGATGACTCATCAGAGTCATCATCCCTTGCCTCATTTTAAAAGGGGGAAGTGTCATGATCCAGCCATAAATAAGTTGGTGTTGATCATATTTTCACTTATTTTTATACATTTTTTAACAACACAATTAACAGTGGAAGTCCTTTTGGACCCTGGGTGTGTTCTTACCAATGTATACATCTGCATCCCAAATTAGCACAGACTAAGTGTAAAGTTCCTACCTAGTCACTAAAACTAATCTGTGTATTTTAATTCTTGGAGGATTCTGGAAAATTTAAAATCTCTTAACTCCCATCCCGTGCAGTGCACAATTATAAAACTTTCTGCAAAAGCCTGGTTGCTCAGAGACGCGATGTTAGACTACAAACGTGCCAACTTTATTGTAGAATATGGGTGGGTATTAACATTTTTGGCTCCTTGTAGTGATACTGGTTCTTCTAGGTGTTAAAACATTCGTGTTTGGTCAGCCAAGACAATTACTTGTACTTTTAGATTCATAATTCATAACCAGCAAGGTTTTGAGTTATACATTTTTGAAGATTCTGATCACCCCAATCCTAACTGTGCTACCTGATGCAGTGCCCAACCCCTTTCATCCAACTGGACAGACTGGGAGAGCAGCAATGCCAGTGATCTCCAAGGTAAAAAAAAGGGAGATCTGCAATCAATTGTTGTTCATATCTGAGGGGTTCCCATCTATGATGGGGGTATGATCCGCATGTTCTATCCAACCCTGGGAGCAGGAGAAATACTTTTTCTGCAACTTGTATATCATTTTTGTTAGTACTATTGCATAGGTATGTCTTTCTTTTTAACTTATGTTTCTTGTAACTTTTATACCTTTCTATGAACTTGCCCTGTAGGAATATTAAAGGAGAACTATGACATGAGTGATTTCCACTCACCTCATAGTTCTAAGCCGACCTGTGACAATGAGACTGTCACAGGTCGGCTCAGTAGATCGGGAGGTGAGGGAACACATACCGGGTTCCCTCACCTCTCGATCCTGTCACGGCTCTCTGCCGTGACAGGGGGAGGGGCTGGATTCCCCTCTCCCCGCTCCGATCTGCCAGCGCTGACTGGCGGAACGGACGGGGGAGGGGGCGGGTACAGCTGGCTCTGCCTCTAGATAGGCAGAGCCAGCTGTCACTCACGCAGCTGGGCGGATCCCGTCATCTAAGTCGGGATCCGCTCCAGGTGCGGCGTCTCAGTATACCGCGAGCTGTAGCTCGCGGTATACTGAGCTTAGGGTAACGGGAGGACGCTAGTTGGTGTCCTCCCGTTACCCCAAGGAGAACTATGGGGAAAAACACTGACCCCCATAGTTCTCCTTTAAATATAAAATGAATTAGCTGGTTGCTCTACAGAACGCACAAATCTGAAAAGACTGAGTGGGTGTATGTAATAAATCTATAAGTGGTATTGGCTGGTTTAGGTCATCCTTGACTACTAATAATGTGTGTGGTCTGCGTAGACCTGTGTGCCAATCTGCTTGATCGCAGACTGTACTGACCTGGGGTGTCAGGGAGGAGGTTTCACACAAGCCTGTAAGTTATCAGTGGGGGCAGCTTGGATATTATTGTGCATGTGCTGTTTATGGTTCTTATGATAATTTGCCAATTCCTTCTCAATTCTGAGAAAGAGTAGCAGGCAACAATACCTTGAGCATTAGTTGGCCTCATTCATCTTGTTACCTTCAGTACACCTATCCATGCCAAGGCTAACTGAGCTAAAAAAAAAAAAGGGGAATTAATCAAGTGCAAATAGATGAGTGCCAAAGAGCAATCTTTATAGCCCCCCAGCCCTCCAAACTTTACCTTAAAACATACTGGGGGGAATTGATCGAATCTGGAGCAGTTGCCCATGGCAACCAATCTGCATCTCTCTTCAGTTTGATCAGGTAAGATTTGAAAATGAGAGAGGGATGCTGATTGGCTGCAGTGCAAATCTGCTCCAGATTTTGTCTGCTCCAGTTTTGATAGATCCCCCAGGTGGACGGTATGTCCACCAGAATGGCTGATAACCCTATTTAGAAGATTTTGCATCATGTCATATCTTTAATTAATGGGGATCTCTTGGGGGGGATGTTCCCCCAAAGATTTTGGCTTCGATCTTTAAAAGTGTTTTATTAATTTTTTTCATATTGAGCAGTGAGTGTAAGATTAAAATTATTGGTCACACTGGAAATTAAATGTCCTTGTTTTTTCCTTAGGATCATCAGACCATTCTCCGGGCATGGGCAGTAAAAGACTTTGCTCCCAACTGTCCTCTCTTTGTCCAGATTCTCAAACCTGAAAACAAGTTTCATATTAAGTTTGCAGGTAAAGTATTTACTAGACCATAGACATTTTCCACTCTTAATATCTGCCTCGCAAGAGGTTACATAAAGCTGAAGGGTTTTGTAGATTGCTTCCTGTTACGGTCAGTCCACCCAAAAATTTTCTCTGTTCTTGGTAGATGCCATTAAATTAAATCCTTTAACAACTTATTATATATGCCTCAGGGACTCAGAATGGTCAGATCTTTGTGTTGAGTCCCTAGGCCTTCATGCCTATACTTTCTGATGGATCCTTAAATATAATTTTTTTATGGACAATGCAGAATGAGAAGTAGGAGCACACAAAAGTGGCTGACAACACCAAGGTACAAAGGAACCAAGCCAGAAACTACTAAATAGGCATTCAGAAGAGATATAAAAATCTAATGAGCGACTTATTGTGCCCATACACTGTGCAAATCTGGGCCGGTTCTTGAGGAACCAGCTAGAAGACCTCAGGAAAAATGTATATACAGGGTTTATTTTTAAATACAAAAGACCTGGAGGGGAGAATATGTGGTATGGGTCTTCCACTTTTAACCTTTATTTCGTGTTCTTACAGAGGAACCATAGCCTTACTGAGAAACTGCTGGCAGGTAGGATGTTATTGAAGAAGAGACTATGTATGTCTCTTTTGCGATAAAAGCTCAGCTGTTTCTTCTAAATGTACATTGACAGCATGCTTTGGTGTCGGGATTAATTAACTGTCATGCCCATGCACGGGAGTTAAGTCATCCTGGGCTGGCCAGTCAAGGTGGCCTTCAGACAATAAACCTGCAAGAACACCAAGCAAGATGTTAGCAGCAGCAAGGGAGCTTGCAGATCTCACATGACTAGAGGGGAGCTAAGTATAGCAGACTTTAGTTCCACTTTAACTGCTGTCTTGACTACCCCAAACTCCCAACGGTGGAGGTCAAATAGGCCAAATTGATAGGGGGGAATTTATCACAACTAGAGCAGACAAAATCTAGAGCAGCTGTGCATGGCAACCAATCAGCTTCTGAAGAGAGAAGCTGATTGGTTGCCATGCCCAGCTGCTCCAGATTTTCTCTGCTCCATTTTTGATAAATTCCACCCATAGTGTTTTATTCATGTTTTTTTGGCTAGATAAGGTTTTCCACTCTCACTGAAGGAGTGTTTAGTGGTAGGCTAATTAATTAGCCGGATTTGTGGGAGGAGCTACACACATTTAAACTGCTCCGTCTCCCACTCTCACCTGTCGGCTCGTGGGCGTCATCCCACATGCCTCACCCCCTTTTTCACTTACCTTTTACTCTTGAGTATGCCCCCTTATTTTGCATACTGACCATAGTGACCACGGCACACCTCAGGTCATTGTAGGCAGGTCCATCATCTCGATTCCTGGGTACGTATCAGTGGGGCTTTGACCACAGTTTATAATATATAACAATGAATGCTGCAAGAAGATTAAAGTGACACTATACTCAGGAGTTAAATCTTAAAAATACATTCAACCACCGCTCCAAGCTCGCTCCCGGGATGGACAACAATCTCAAGGTTACTTTACTAATTTGTATTGAGATTCTAGTCCATCACGGGAGTGAGCTTGGAGTGGTGGCTACTTTTCAACACTCACAGGGACCATGGGGAACAAAAGTAGCCACCCATAAACTTGTACTTGAATGCATTTTTAAGATTTAACTCTTGAGTTTTGTGTCACTTTAAGATTAATTGAAGGGGGTGTTGGTTCTATCTAGGAGATCTAATGGATGACCAAGAGATGTAGAAGCCAGTGAATATTTCAGTGCACCCAAAGCTGCAATATCACAATTGGATAGAGCCACCCACCCAGCCATGCATTGTGGCTTATTAATGGGAACTGGCAGATATGAGCACTTTTGTTGCAAGTAATAAAAGTATTTGTGCATGGCTGATCTGATGTCTGAACCAGTATTCTGATATCACTAGTTTTTAATCATTTCATAGGCGGTATACACACAAACTCCTAGTCACAGAACAAAAATCACCAGCGCATCCTTGGAACCTCCACAACTAAAGCTGCATGGTGGTCAAAAAGCGGTGCCTGTTATGTAACCTTTGGAGATAGTGAATAAAGAGGCTTTTATGTAACATTGCCCTTTTATATTGCTGATAGTTGGAGAGTAATCTCCCAAAAAATTGACTTTATTCATGCTGATGTGACAAACGTTTTTATTTCCCTGTATCTGTGTGAATAACCCTTTTCCTTTTTTTTATTCATTTTTTCACAAGCACATGCTCAATTTGACATTTTGGAGAAAAAATTGTACTTAAAAGCTTCAATGCCAAATACTTTTTTTTTCTGAAAGCAAACGGACTGTGGAATAAAAAGATAATAGTTGGAATTGTTTTTATGTCTACTGTTTACCTGGCCCTAGACCTGGGATTTGACAATTCTGAACCCAGAAGTGCTCAGAAATGAGCATTTCTGGGTTCATACTCTGTAGAGGAGATTAGAGAATGTGTGAATTGTTTTTTAGCTATGAAGGTTACATAGTATTTGAGGTTGAATAAAGACATAAGTCCATCAAGTCCAACCTATTGCTGATGTGTGTGTGTGTGTGTATATGTATATATATATATATATATATAAACACATTACATTATTGTTTTATGTTAAAAAATCTGAGGGTTTAATGTCACTTTAAATTTAGTAGCCTTGTCTCATAGCTCTGGTCCTCCATTGCTCTAATTAGTTTGGTTGCCCTCCGCTGGACTCTCTCCAGCTCAAGGACATCTTTTCTAAGTACTGGTTGTATCATATTTTAGAAGCTGGAAAGTATGTATATAATCAAACCCATGTTGAAGGCAGTGTAAAGTAATTAAAGCATATCTAAACCCCAAAACAAAAATCTAATATGTTACAACTTACCAGGTCCTTTTCAGGCTTTTCCCCTTGACATTTACCTGGTAATCTTGTGAACAATACAACTCCTATTCCTGGGCGGGTATACTCACTCACCCACTGTATCTATGGAGCAAGCCATGGCTGCCACCCCGGGTGGACTTCAAACATGTCTACCTTTTGTTTGCCTTTCTCCATTATTTGGGCGGGGGGTGGGGGGCTAGGGGCGAGGGAATTGGTATTTTATTTTTTTACAATTTTTTTTTTTCTCTAGAAGACAAGAACAGTGGCTAAACAATTAGTTTAACAATAAGAGCATGCACAGTACTAGGGAATTGGTATTTTAAACAAGAAACATAACATCTCAAGAAATGACAAGAAATCTGGCAAAGTCCCCAGGTATTTTCTGTACTTGATAAAAAAGTTATTGGTCTAGAAAAGGAAAGCAAGCACAACCAAGGACTGGCAAGTTGAAAATATATATAAAAAAAATTGGGGTTTAGTTATCCTTCAATCCTATTCAACCACGTGAGGATATTTTTCCATTCAATCCAAATCAGCCTTTAAAAGAGTTGTTTTCACTGAAAATGAAATGTTATTTTTAAAAGGAAATCTTCTCTCTCCCGTCTTCATTTTCATTTCCATCCTCAGATCATGTGGTCTGTGAAGAAGAATTTAAGTATGCCATGTTGGCGCTTAACTGTGTATGCCCAGCCACCTCTACGCTGATCACTTTACTGATTCATACCTCTCGGGGACAGTAAGTGCAACCTGAAAGATGAAGCTGATATATATAACTAACGCTTACTCAAAGTCCTGGGTTTTCTGGGTCAGTCCATGACTGGTGGCAGAATAGATGGGGCTTCCTGCAGATATGACTTGATTAATTTATAGGTTCTTCAGTGAACCTCCACCTTATTTTAGACACTTCTAATTTCGAATAATAATAATCATTACAGCACCAGTGGTCAATGAATAGAACAATAATAACAATCACCCCCAGCAATAGTGTGGTTCCTTATTTACTTACCTAAACAAACACTCCCACGCAGAACTCTCCTTTCCAGTTGGGCGGGACTGTAGTTTTATTGTTGGGAGGAGATCACCCCACCTGACTGCTCCAGCTTCTTTCAGTGCTGGAACATGGAGAGTGTTCACCAGCACCCACATCGGAAAAGCGTCTAAGTGGTGGTACCTGGTGCTAACAGCCTCCCAATAACGCTACAGCTGAGTAGCCAATTACATTGTTCCTTTTTATTTTCTAGCATTGTCTATAAATACATATGGGAGAATCTGACTGGTATGGGCAACAAACACCTATTTTCCAGATGCTTGCCATTTTTTTTTTAATGGTGGCTGATTTAGCTGTTTCTCTGCCCCACTGTTGTCCTTTAACCCTGTCCTTTTTTTTCCTCCTTCAGGACAGCCGCTATGGACCCTTTTCGCCAGCGCCCTAGTCCTTGGCAAGCCCTCTCCAGGTAGTGTGATTGTTATTCTTCCTCCTTCTTCTGCTCTCTTGAACTTTTTAAAGAATCTGCCCACTTACAACTTGCTTCTCAGTTTTGTGGAGATGCCTGAGCTCTCAGATAAGTGCCCTTTTTAAACAAAACCCATATGTCAACTCGCTTACTCTTCTCACCAAAATTCCTTATATCAATGGCGTAAAATGGCTGGAACTGGACAGGTATAGCTTACGTCATTCCCAGTACCTTTTGTGCCACCACACCACGTTCTATCCCCAAGACATGCACTGAGCTGGGCATGAACAGGGTTATAATTTTCTATGGCTGCCCCCCCC